CTTCGCCACAACTGGAGCCGACAACGTGGACATCACAGTGGCCAGTCTCCGGGACGAGGGTTTCCGCCTGGCAACAGAGATCACAAAGTAAGCATTCAAATCCTGCTGAGGGGACTTGAACTTATAAACCAGCTATTAAAGCCTGCGATATGCACTGCTTTAAGTGCCCCTCATGTTTCAGACTCTAACCACACAATGCCTCATTTTCCTCCTTCCAGTGTCAGCGTGGTGCAGTGGAACGAATGCCTGTACGAGCCGCAGCTGATCGAGCGCACCAAGGACGTGTGCGGCGGGGCCGTGGACGTGGTGATTGACTTTGGCACAACCTCCAGGAGCCTGCACCGCTCGATGCACTGCCTCTCGAAGGGCGGCGTGGTGCTGATCAGCGACGAGGTGGCCGAGAAGCTGCTGCCGAAGTTCTCGCGGCTGTCTGAGCAGTACCAGCAGGAGATCATCGCCATCTCGAACGGCACCGCCGAGCAGCTGGCGGAGCTAGTGGAGCTGGTGGCCAACAAGAAGATCGAGCCACCGCCGCACTCCGTCTTCCCCTGCGAGCAGGCGGCCGAGGTCATCGCAAAGCTGTGCAACTCCGAGATACCCGGACGCGCCATTCTCCGCTTCCACGACATAGAGTAGGCGATTCCACTTCGGTGGCTCGTAGGGCGCGAGATCGGAGGACATGGTCTTGTTTCCCCATTAAGGCATTAACTCATTTAATATGGATATATGTTAGCTGTATTCGGAAGAACACAAAACCCGACAAAACACTGCAACCTGCAACACTCTCGAAGCGGATTCAGAAATGTGCTTACTTTGTAGCCGGTCTTTGTTTTGTAACCTTAATTCATTTTGGACTGCAGACGAACTCCTCGTTTTATTGATTTAGCGTTTTAGGCATTTTTAGTATTATGTACATATAGATTGTGATTTATTTTATTCGTAAGCCGCCCCACACCCATGATTCTAGTTTTGCAAACTCACCCATCACATCGCCATATTAGCCGGAGTCGAGATTCGGAAGCTTATTTAATGATTTTCGATTAAGTAAAAACCCCAGCAGAAGCGGAATACAAAATAAATGTTATGCATACTATACACAAAATTGTTACGCATGCGATGCAAATGTTTGATTCAATTGCTTGATGTTTGTACTCATTACGTACCCAGCATTATACTCTACTCTTATTCACAAATAAAAACCATTAACTATCAATACATGGGGCTGCTCTAGGTATCTTGCAGCTGCACTTCCGGATTTTTCTCAGGAGCATGGGCCGATGGTTCTGTATAATCCCAGCAAATGTGGTCTCTATATGATCTGGGTACATCTATCTATAATCTACCTTTTCCTCGAGCTGAATTTGAGCTGTGTTCCTTTGACTGAGTCTTTTAATTTATTGATATATTGCTTATTCCAACATTTATATTCCATCTTTATATCTTATATTTATATCTTTTATTTATATCTTTATTTGGAAGATCGTCGGTTACCGCAAGCAGAAAGTAAAACCATGTTAATATCGATTGAATATTCATACTTTTTGTTAGTCAATCCTAAATATAATTACATTACTGGAATTATTTTGGAAGTTTTTGGAAGATCGTCGGTTACCGCAGGCAGAAAATAAAACTATGTTAATATCCATATCCATATTTTAATATCCAGTTTAATCAGATCGAAAGTACAAACTTAAGCAAGTCAAAGTCTATTAAATTGCACTTTAAAAAATGTTTCTAGTTTCGAATATAACAGTTTTTTTAGGTGTAAGCAATAACTAGATGTGGCAACCCTCTTCGCGCACAAAGAAAGGTTGGCAGCCCAAGCCGCACTGATTGGTGTTGGATAACGTCGTGGGTGGAATTGCGCCAAAAACTGTAAACAGCGCGGCAAGCTGATCGACCGCAAAAGCAGGGGAGCCAGTCTAGTCAAGACCCAATTTAATTATTGCTGACGTTGGCGACTTGTTAAAACCACTGATAGTGATAGCAGCGCGATGGTTAATAAAGAGAACGCCCGCAGTGTGGGCCAGCAGGTGCAGTGGATCGGAAGCCAAGACGCACTACCGCCAGTAAAGTATCTGGAGCACAAGAACGTCTACTTCTACCAGAAGTGCATCTACGGCCCGTTGACTTTGTCCGTTGGCGACTTTATACTGGTGTCGAACGCGGATGCCGCCGAGCCTGACACAGTGAGTGGATGCGACGTGGCACGGATCCTGCACATGTATGAGCTGCGCGAGGTAACCGATCGCGAGCCCTGTCGCGCCATCGTCCAGTGGTACTCCTGGCCCAGCGCCATTCCGCACAACCATTACGACAACGAGGAGGTGGCAATAGACTTTAGCCTGGAGGTGATCGAGGAGCATCGCCCGTACGATAACGACGTAGCCCTCGGTGCCATCTACCGCAAGTGCATGGTACTGGAAAGCACCTCTGAAACATCCGCGCAGGAGGTTCTCAGCCGACAATCCAAGAAACTGAAGTCCACGGCCTGCCCAATGTTTGTCAGCCGGTACAGGTTTGTCAGGGTGAAGCGGAGATATCGCTTAATTCCCTTGGAAATTCACTTGGAGCAGCCGAAGGAAGATACCCGGCAATCCCGCAAATCCCTAACAGCACACAGAGAATCCAAGCGAACAGTATCCGACCGCCACGATGACACAGCTGGCGAAAAACGACGACGTGCATCCATGGCAGGTGCGAATTCCGTAGAGTTCATCGATGTCAACTGCTTCAGCTGCGAAAATAAGGTGTCGCCCATCAAGATCGTGGGCGGACGCAGTGTAGTGCGGTTGTCTGAGAAGAAAACGGCCCCGGAGATTAATGCCAACTATCTTCCGGCTTCTCCCCTCACTGAAAAGAACGCTAAGGTGGAGACACCGAAATCCCGGGCCTCGGCAGCCCGCCGCAACCTTAATCTCAGCCTGGATCGCGGAGCGGATACCACTGCCGACTCAGACTGCCTGAATTACTCAATTGTTCAGCAAACTCCTGATCCCAAAACACCTTCCAACGACATGAAGATCAAGCTGCGCCTTTCGGAGAGAAGGCGTTCGGTGCGCCTCGCATCCATGGACGCGGATCCCTTGTCGTTAGAGGAGGCCGTACCCAATGCACAAGGACGGAAGCGATTGGGCGTGGCCAATGGTGATATCTACCATACCCCCACCAAAAAATCCAAAGAGCCTGTAGAACCAGCAGCGACCACCGAGCAAACACCCTCGACAAGGCGTAAAAGCATCCTGAAATCAGCCACCAGTCGATTGGGTAAGTAGTTGATCTTTCTCATACATTACTCATTCTCACGCATTAAAATCATTTTCCTTGATTTATTTAGCTGAGGGCACGCCCAGGCGTAGTATTCATTTGTCTAACATTGTGGAACAGCGCGTATTCAAGGATAATGAAATAATATCCACTCCTAAAAGGGGGCGTCCCAAGAAAATAGTTCGAGACGAGGACGAGGACTACTCGCCAAAGAAGTCAGTTCAAAAGACGCCCACGCGAACGCGTCGTTCAAGCACCACCACCAAAGCAGCGACGACACCCAGCAAAGGGATTACAACCGCAACTACAACCCCAATGACGCCCTCCCAAAAAATGAAGAAGATACGAGCTGGTGAACTTAGCCCCAGCATGCAACAGCGCACTGACCTTCCAGTGAAGGACTCCAGCAAATCGGAACTGCAGCTGGCACGGGAACAGCTTCACGTCTCTGTTGTGCCAAAAAGCTTGCCGTGCCGCGAACGGGAATTTGAAAACATTTACGCCTTTCTGGAGGGCAAGATCCAGGACCAGTGCGGCGGCTGCATGTATGTGTCTGGAGTTCCGGGAACTGGAAAAACGGCCACTGTAACTGGAGTTATACGTACCCTGCAGAAGCTGGCAACGCAGAATGAGCTGCCTGCCTTTGAGTATCTGGAGATTAATGGCATGCGACTGACTGAACCGCGTCAAGCCTACGTGCAAATCTACAAACAGCTCACGGGCAAGACTGTGTCCTGGGAGCAGGCACACGCTCTGCTGGAGAAACGGTTCACTACACCGGCGCCTCGTAGAGTTACCACTGTGCTACTGGTTGATGAGCTGGATATCTTGTGCAACCGGCGCCAAGATGTGGTCTATAATTTGCTCGACTGGCCCACCAAGTCGGCGGCCAAACTAGTAGTGGTCACCATTGCCAACACCATGGACTTGCCTGAGCGCTTGCTGATGGGTAAGGATTAATTCCATATATTCCCAATTGCTCCTCTAACGTTCATTGTTTTTCATTTAGGCAAAGTCACCTCTCGTCTTGGCCTTACACGACTTACATTCCAACCGTACAGCCATAAGCAGCTGCAAGAGATAGTTACCGCCCGTTTGGGAGGCTCTGAGGCATTCAAAGGCGAGGCCGTGCAGCTAGTGGCGCGCAAGGTAGCCGCCGTCTCCGGTGATGCTCGCCGAGCTCTGGACATCTGCCGGCGTGCTACAGAAATTGCTGATATGGCTGCGGTGAAGTGCGTAACAATGCTTCACGTACAGCAGGCATTGGCTGAGATGATAGCCAGTGCCAAGGTGCAGGCCATTAGAAACTGCTCGCGGATGGAGCAGATCTTCTTGCAGGCAGTAGCAGCGGAAGTTACGCGCACAGGCGTCGAGGAGACCACTTTCATGGGCGTCTACCAGCAGGTGGAAACCATCGCCGCCTTCATGGGCGTGACCTTTCCACCACCAGGACGCGCCCTCCGCTTGTGCTCCAAGCTGGGCGCCGAGCGACTCATCATTAGCGAACACTCCCGCAATGATCTCTTTCAGAAAATCCTGCTAAACGTCAGCGCTGATGACATTCACTACGCCCTCAGAGTGGCAGAGATGGTCAACTGAGAAATAACAAATGGGAAGCTATTTAAGCAGTTTAACATTAAATTCTCATCTGCATTTTTAAAACTTAAATCAAGCTTACTACCCGTTCGCCACGCTACACATTTTAAAATAATGCATTACTCATAAAACATTGAAATAGCATAAGCATATTTAAATTATTTCTTTTTTAAGCGTCATGTTTAAACAATTTAAAGTACAAACTCGTTACTAAAAATACCAAATAAAACACCAGCACAGTGTAACAGTCGTAAAGAACTTTTGGTGAAAATACGGAATAGATAAAAAGGTGGTAGCGGAAGCCCACCAAGAGGCAGAGGTAGAAGGCCGCCGGCAACATGATCAGCGCGGCGTAGAGCGGAGCTATCAGCGAGTCCGCGGCAATCGAATAAGGAGGCTGTAGCTGCATGATACCCACACTGCGCAGATCCGAGCGCAGAGTATGGACAACTAAATAGAGGAATGCATGAATATCCGCACTGTAAGTGTTGAGGGTGACAAAGATGGCAACGATCGATGGGTTGTAGCTTGTCTGCCCGATATAACCCGGCGTTAGGTCAATGGTGGATAGGCTGTTCGAGTTTCCCTGGTAAAAGAAGAACATCCTGGACAGGAATATGGTCATGATGATCTTGTACACATGTACCAGTCGCACGGAGAACTTTCGGGCACTTGTCCCATAAACATCGCACAGCTTATAAGTTTGCTGCAGGGCCACGAGAAGCACGGGCAGGAGTAAGATATTTTGAACCCGTTGCAAAAGCGCAGCTAAGAGCAGGGAACTGCTGAGGTTCGTCTGTAGTAACTGCAATAATGCACCTGTGGGCGGCATTTTCCCAAAGGTGTTCGTTTGAGGCAGCGCCGCCCGGTAGCCCAGCACCAAAACCAGTGCCAAACAGCACCAGAAGGTCACTAGCGTCGGCACCATAAGTTTTGCACTAGAAATTGGAGAACCATTATACAAATTGTTTTGGCTGACTTAACATAGACATATTTAAACTTACGCCATATGCGGAGGAATGTCGAAGAAAATCACCTGGCCGTTTAGCCCTCGGAAGCAGTAAACCATAAATAAAGCTGCTCCACTGGCCACCGACTGCGTCAACTGGCTGTGACGATGCAGGCGTGCCCAGAGCAACAGTAGCGAAAATATCACGACGGTGCTCCGGATAGCCTGCAGCCTGTGAATGTAGCGCATCAATGTGAGCAACATAAGTACCACAAGCACTTTACGCATTTGCCACAGACAGGTTGACGCAATAGTGTACAGATGACGGCCATTTAGTTCCACGTTGGTTTTGGTGATACGCCATCGAAGCGTTCGGAATGCCGTCAACAGGATGAGGGTATTACCCAGGTAATACCACGTCTTGTACTCGTACTCAATAAACGAGGAGGAACCAAGAGTTAAAGTGCGTATAGCATAACAAGCTAGCAAAGGTTTCGGTAATGGAATGGAAATCTTTAGACGACGTGTGTATATCGGAGGTAACGCAATCTTGAGCAGCGCCTGCGCCACATCGGTTGTAAGGTAAACAGCTATTGAAATGGGTACCAATAGAAGAATGCTGTAAAGCGTAGAACTGGTCATGATGATGTCCAATGCATGACTAGTACAATTTAAGATGACAGCAGCAATCACAGATAGCCACAGCTGTCCCACTTTTAATCCGTCCAACTGAAGCTGTTCGGTGAGATCCAAGTACAAGACGCTGATCACAATATGAAGGGATGTCTGAAAGATCATGGTCACTATAGCGTGCTTCATAACTGGACGGAAATCTTACCGATGTGGTTAAAGATAATCCAAGCGCTATAAATCCGTAGTCGAACTTCACTAGGGATTCGGAAAGTAGACCGGAAATCTCGCGGGCCACGCGCATATAATTTAGCTTTGCATTCTGGTAGTAAACCTGACTGGCTCCACCTCCACCGCCCTCTCTCAAAGGTTGCAGTAGCTTCTTGTGCAACAAGGTGGCATTCTGATACCACGTGTAGTAATCTGAAGAATACAAGAATAATGAACTAAACAAATCGGCGCGGAAGGATCATAACCTTACCGCTCCGATGGACTCTTTCGTGGCCGAACTTCACTCGCGCCTTGTTGAGCAAGTGGTGGGCATTGTAGAAGTAAGCATACAACTGGTGCTCCAAAGACAACGACTGCAGCATCTCCGGTATTAGACACCCAATGGAGAGAGTGGGTATTTCAACAGACAGAAGCACTGAAAGGGTAGGTGCCAAGTCAATTTGGTTGTACAGTTTTCTTACGGATCTGGGCCAAAAAAATAAGAGATTATTATTTTTATTTTGATTGTTTTTTATGACTTACGTTGTTTGGCTGCAGTTGTTAGAATACAAATATAAAGGTACTAGAGTTTCGGCAGGCGTGTTACCGCCATGTCCTCCGCCATCAGCCATGCCATGATCTCCGGTCAGCATAAGCAAGACGTTGGGAAAGCTCTAAAAAAAAAAAAAAAAATAGGGGGGTTATATTACAGCTTCCCCTTTATATCAAGCTGTATAATAAATTACCTTATGATCCAATATTTTTTTCACCGCTTCATCCATTTCCTTTAGCTTGAGGGGCACCCTAGGACTGGCATTGCCTTCGACATGACCAATGTGATCGAGGCCCAGATAGTGTAAAATCAGCAGAGACCAGTCACTCCGCTCCAGCTCAGTCTCCAGTGCATTGGTCACATTTCTATCGCCTTCATAGAAGTCGTTAACATAGAAGGAATCATGGTTTTCAGCATGCCGTGTGAACTCGCTGGGAAAGAGCTTCACCCATGTGTGGTCACCGGCGAAGGAAACAACTCGATTCTGCTGCTTTAGGCGGTGCAAGAACGAGTCCTGCATCTGCTCCGTGTGGCCCACGTTTAACGCAATGTCGATGAAGTTTGAAAGGGTACCGGTGGTGATGCTTTTCAAGCGAGGCATAGTTACGGTTGGTATATCCACATGAAGCTTAAGCTTCTCGCAAGCCCTAGAATAAGCCACCGGCATAGACGTGGCATCTGGAAAATCATCGCGCAACGCGTCGACCAGTAGCAGCACAACAGAGTCGTAGGCAGGAGGCGGCGGCGTCACTCTGCAAAGGGTAACGAGCATTATCGGGGCGGTATCTATGAAATAATCAGCTTCGAAACTCACTCCACGCCGAGCAATGCGGTGGGCCGGCCTTCTGGCACGGTGCTTTCCTCCTCCGCCACCGAATAGGAGGCCGGAAAGAAGCCAATTAGAAAGAGCACGGCGCCGCAAAGAAACACCGTGAGCATGCCGATGGTATAAACCAGCCGACTTTTGTGCTGTTCCATCTTCTTATTTTCATCGAAAGTTTCGCGCTCCACCAAAAACCACAACAAATATAATTGCCCCCCGTCAGCTGGAAGTGAAATATAAACACTAGCCAATCGATGAATGCTGCATGCTATCGATAGGCGACTAGCCTTTGCCTGGCTTAGGTATAAGAAAACTGATTAGAGCTATCGCTCAATTGATTATTAATTATTATTAATTATTATTATTATATTATTAATTATTATTATTATTACTAAAGCTATGGTCTTACGGATACGTAACAGTATTATTTAAGAAAACTCTTATCTTTATGAAAATTATCAGTACATAATGTTATTAATGTTTTGCGTCATTTTTCAAAATGTACGTATATTAATTTATAATTAATTTTAAATATTTATAGGTAAACTCTTACTTATGTATAAAAGGATAAGATTGAATCATATATTTCCAAAAATGAAATAATTTACTAAAATCTATCGTCCCCTTTTGCCCATTTGTGACTGCGCCTATGGCCCCATAGTGGCTCGGATATAAACAAACGCCTTTTATTATTGCATTAAACTTAAAATGGAAACTTGCGGCCTTATCTGTGTGAGCAGGGACTACGAGAACTTCCTGATGCGCTGTTCCTACTGTGCAACGGACGTGGAGGTGGCCCAGTGGCAGGAGTTTGTGCTCCACATCCGCAACATGCATAGTAAAGTGAGAAGCATGGAAGACGACTTCGACCAAATAAGGGGAAATGTGTCTGAGGTGGTAGAAGCGGAGCTTGGGCAGGTAGACCCTCCAGAGGAGCAACCACAAGCGGAAGAGCTGATAGCTCAGGAAGAGGAATTGGTGGACGGAGCCAGTGTGAAGCTGAATGAAAACACAGTTCAAACGACAAACGAGACAGAGGAGTCGGACGCCTCTTTGTTTACAGATCCAGAAGAATCTGACCAGGAGGAGGAACCAAGTGAACTAACTCTGGATGATGCAAATTTAATATCCACACCCACCTACAAGGTCTTTTTAGGAGTAATTCATGATTGTGCTAAACTAATTTAAGGTTTCAACTTCAGTTTCATCCATCCTTCTTTCGGCGAGACCATCGAACCTTAAAGTTCATAGAGATCTACAAAACTCACCCGTGCCTCTGGCATCCCGCACACAGCGACTACAAGGAACCCAAGAAATGCAAAGAAGCCCTGAGGCGTATGGCAACTGATTTGGAGGCAGCTGTGTCCGTGTTCCTAAACGAGATTACTTTAAAACTGGCCATCAAAAAAGTACACATGCAGTTCAACACCGTACACAAGCGGGTGCTGTCTGGAAAACAAAAACCTCAATCTCTGGCTTTCAGTATATATAAATTGTGTAGCTTCTTGAAGGCTAGCAATGATGAAGAAGGCTCTAAAAATAACGAAAAAATCCAGGCAAGATATTTAACTTTATTAAAATAGAAATGGTTATTAACTTGACTTTGCCCCCAGCTTGATTTCTCAAAGAAAAACAAGCTGACTACCGACCTGATAGAGATGTATGCAAACTTTCCGCAGCTGTACGACTCCGCCCACAAAGAGTTCTCAAATATGAACTCTCGAAAACAGGCTTACGAGAGCATGGCTGCAGAGTTCTCAGTGCCCAACGTGGACATAAACAGCGACGACATCTTCCGAGCCATACAGAATCTTCGCCAGTGGTACTACAAGAGCACCAAACATGCCATTAATACCGGAAGTGCAGCCGAGAAGTTCTACTTAGAGGTGTGCCGGTTCATGCCTCCAAAGATGTACAAGCAGCGGTTGGTCTGCGAGATTTGCCACCAGATCACGTCGTCGGATCACGTCCTGCAGTCGCACATCTTCAAGGCGCACAACATCGGCGAGCTGCCGTTCAAATGCACCTTGTGCGACCGGAGTTTTGTGGGGCGTTGCGAGTTGGCGAACCACATGCAGCGGGTCCACATCGGCAAGACCCACAAGTGCACCCATTGTGACCGCACATTCGCTGTGATGTCGGACCTGCAACTGCACATCCGTACTCACACTGGCCACAAGCCTTACGTCTGCGAGCATTGCGGCAAAGCCTTCCGACTAAGGTCCCAAATGACGCTTCACGTTAGGGCTATTCACACCAAAATCAGAGCTTTTAAGTGCTCCATGTGTCCCAAAGACTTTGTGAAAAAGGTCGATCTATCGGATCACATCAAGGGCCATTTAAATATCCGAGACAAAATTTGCAGTGTGTGCGGTAAGGGATTCACCAGCTGCCATGCACTGATCCGACACCGGCAGATTCACTCCGAGGTGAAGAAGTTTGTGTGCAAACTCTGCGACTCCAGGTTCTCCCAGTTTGTGGGTCTTAATACGCACATGAAGCGCACCCACAACATTCTTCGTAACAATTCACAAAAGGGTACGGACGCTGTGGATGCCGAGCACTGAATTTGCTAAAATTTGCATTTATTGCATTTTCATTTTTGCAAAGGATCAAAAATAAAGAAACAACTCCAATTAGTTGAATACAACCTCTTTATAAATTCCATATCAAACTCTTTACAGTTATAATACCCGTACTCGTAGAATAAAAGGATATGCTAGACTCGTTTAAAATTATGAAGCCAATTCGAACTGGCCATGTCCGTCCGTATGAACGTCGAGGTCTCAGGAACTACAAAAGCTAAAAGTTGAGAATATTATGCATGTTAGCACACCCATTCTTACGCCCACAAAACGCTTAAAACTGTCACGTCCGAAATTTGAAAATTGTTTTGATTTTTTTACATTTTATTATTTGTTTTGTCAATTTCTATAGGCATGCCAAAAATGTTCTTGCTACGCCGACTCTAAGGCCGACAAACTGTCCAAAACTGCCACGCCCACACTTTTGAAAAATGTTTTGATATTTTTTAAATAGTTTTTCCCCAATTTCTATCAATATTCAAAAACAAGTTTAAATTTCTCGTTCGCACTTCCACTAGCTGTACCCTACTGTACAAGAATTGTCTTACATTCTTATACGACAATTAAAATATACTAGTTATTATAAAGATCTATTCATAAGAAGCTGGCTATTTTCTCTGTCATAGGCACCGCCAAAAGTATTTAAAACGTATATTTATTTTTTAAATCTTATTTCAAATTTTATATCGAAGGCGTTACTTTTCGAGATAACCTATCGATAGGCAAGTATTTCAGTCGTTGACCAACACAGTCCCAAACGAACAAAAAAAAATTATCGTCTTAAATAAACGAAGGTTTTTTCAGAAAAGGGAAATTTTTCAAGCTGAAGTCAGATCAGAGCATCCAACGTAAGCATGGAGCTGTGCGGCAGTGTGATGACCAACTCCAAGTATGAGCTGTTCCGGCTGAAATGCCTGTACTGCAGCATAGAGAGCGAGCTAAAGGATTGGGAGCTGTTCATCGTCCATGTGAAGACGGCGCACTACAGCGATGACGACGACTTTAAGATTAATGAAACCAAAGATGACTCCCAAGATCTATACTGCGTCGTTGACGCCGCGGACCCAGCCATCGCCTATGGTCCGGACGAGTTCTTCGAGGTGATTGAAACCAGCAATGGGGAGGATCAATGGATGGAAGCTGATAGCAATGTAAGGGTCACCTCACTTACCAAAGGGTAGCCGAAATAAATGGGGGTTTCGTTCTCCTTAGGATGTCCAGTACATAGAAGACGCCACTGCTTGGTCTGCAGCTACAGGCAATTTCTGCGAGTACGGTCCAGGCGGCAGCTCATCGGAGCTTCCAACCGAAAGGGAATTCACGCAAATGGAGGAGTCGTCACAAAATCACATACCCTTAAACACAGACGACGATGACGTTGATTGTAGTGACTTCTTTATGTCTGAGGATGACTTGGCACCTCCTAAGAAACCTGGAAGACCGCCCAGACGAACAAGACCAGGTCAGGTTTTCAAGGTTAGTACGGACTAGTACGGATTTCGCCTTAGCTAGACCTCCCACTAAACAGCGTCATTCAGTTCAAAGTTTCGTTTATTCGGAGCAACCCCCGTGTCCTGCATTTGATCCAAGCGTACAAAGAGCATCCCTGCCTTTGGAACCCCTCCGATGAACACTACCAAGACGAACCTGCTCGAAATATGGCATACGAGACGATTATGGAACGCATGGACTGCAAGGCCAATGTTCTCTTCACCGTGGAAGAGCTAAAGAAAACGCTCGAGCAACTGCACGTGCAGTACACGCTAGCTCGGGAGACAAAACAAAAGGGAAAGCTTGTTGGACTTGCAGCGCGTTACTTTGCCAAGTGCGAGTACCTTAGTGTGGCGCCTGTCGTAACGCCCAGGGAAACCGAGGAGGACGATGACTTGACTGCAATTAAGGTAATAACAAGCACACTATAATTTAACTCCTTTTAAACGACAAATACTTTTTGCAGCTTAACTTTAAAGAGGAAAACCTGGTCACCAGCTCATTTATAGAGACCTATGCAAACTATCCCGTGCTTTATAATCCTGCGCTGGAAGATTTTGGCTCAATAGAGACGCGTGCAGATGCCTACAGAAGAATGGCAAAGGAATTTCAGCCAGTGGTCAAGGCCAACGAAACGGACGTTTACATTGCGGTCAATAAGCTGCGCCGTTGGCTGTATGATGCCATGCGTCGCCTCAAGTCCAAGGAATTGATTCAGAAATGCTGCAAACAAGAGGTTCAGTATCTGCAAATGTGCAGCTTCTTGCCAGCCAAGGGTTCTGAAAGCCAGGTGCTGTACTGTGACTACTGCGAAAAACGTTTCCACGGCGACTATAACCTACGGGTGCACATCGTCAAGGCGCATGAGGTGGGCGACCTACCATATCTCTGCTCGTTCTGCCCGAGGCGCTTCGACCGGCAAGTAGACATGGACCGTCACAAGCTGCGCACCCACTTTGAACGGAAGCTGAAGTGCCAGTACTGCGACAAGACGTTCGCCGTTGATACCGACTTAAAGGTGCATACACTAATCCACACGGGCGAGAGACCTCACGTCTGTGACATCTGCGGTAAGACATTCCGGCTCAAGCTACTCCTGGACCACCATGTCAACGGGGTTCACCTGAACATAAGACCGTATAGCTGCAACATGTGCAACAAAACCTTCCGCAAGAAGTTCGAGTTGGCCAACCATATCAAAGGCCACTTGAATATCCGTGATAAAAAGTGCGAGTACTGTGATGCCGCGTTCTATGACCACTCTTCGCTTTCCAGACATCGCCGCAGTCATAGGTCGGAATGAATTCTTGACTTAAGAACATTTTTTAGAAACTGCATTGTTTTTGATATTTAGAATCAGTTTGCTCGTTCTCCGTAAGTAATATGACTTCATTTGTTGTAAATCAAGAATAAACATACGTTAGTGATTCTATAATAAGATTGTTCTTAAGCAGTTACGGCTTTTGTGTATATGCCTTTTTATACACTTTTGTGTTAAAAATTGGTTCACAGAATGTATTATTAATTTAAAAAGAAGAAATATAAGTTTTAGTCTCAATTTTTTGAATCGGAATTTATATTAAAATACAGCACACCATTAAACGTTACGATAATCCTAAATATAATTAAAGGAACAAAAAAACAAATGTTTTTATGAGTCCCAAAAGTTGAAAAAATATGTATTTAATAAAATGAAATGAATTCAAAAGTTCATTTTGGGACCAATTAAAATATTTTAAATCCAAATATATTTTAAAGCAACATTTAAAATTCAACTAAAGATCTTAAGTTCTGTAATGTATAAAAAATTAATCATATTTAAAATATTTTCCAACATTGAGTCGATTTCTTATCAATGGATTCCGCGGGTGATTTTTCAACACTGACCAGCAGGTGTTTATCGATACATGGCGTTGTTGTTGTGCTATTTTGCATTGTATTTTATTTGTTTGTAAGCAAATCATGGTGGTTTGCGGGAACATTTTGGCCCGGAACAACTTCGAGCACTTTGTTCTGGCGTGTGCTCACAAAAATGACTGCTACGTGGAGATGGAGTTCGAGAGGTGGCGTGAGTTTATCGTGCACGTCAAGGAGCACCTGGAAGCAATTCCAAACACGCAGCAAGAGCTCACTGCTTCCGCAGTCATTTCGTCCGCCAAATGTGAGGAAGGGGTATTGCCAGCCAAGGTGTTCATAGTGGAGGAGCTGCCGGAAAATTGCCTGCCTGAAGACATGTTCGTTGACCTGCCACCTTCCTCAGAGAACGACGAGAGCGCCAGCCTGGAGGAGGACGACGAGGTGGAGTCCCCCACGATGACAGTTGACTGCGAAATGGGCAGCAGAAAGTCCAAAAATTTTGCTCCTTTATCCAAAGTAAGCAACTGACTTGACTAGCCACAAAGACCAACAAATTAAAGCAGATGTTTTGCATCCCGTCAGTTCAATCCCACGTTTTACCGACGCAGTCCACGGATCACACAGTTTATCGATCTGTACCAGCAGCAGACATGCCTTTGGGATCCAGCGGATAAGTCGTACAAGGACAAGGAGAAACGCACAGCTGCATATGAGGAGTTGCTGGTGCAATTAAAGACCACAGTTAACCTTCACCTAACGGCCTACAAGCTGAAGAAGTGCATCACCAGCCTACACGAGCAATATGCGGCGATTACGCGACAGAAGAAAACCCAGAAATTGTCCAAGGTTCCACTGTACTACCATGGAAAGTACAGCTTTCTGGCAGAGCGCGGTAGTCTGGAGGACGCGGACAGCGATGATGACGTCGCTGATGGCAAGGTAAAGGTAAGTCAGAGTGAGAAACTGCTTATTAAGCAACTCTAATGCTTACCCCACGACAGCTGGTGTTCACAGAGGAGAATCAACTGACCACTGAGTTTATTGACTTGTACTCAAAGTTTCCCCAACTGTACGACCCCGCACACGAGCACTTCTGCAATCTTAATGTACGAAAGTCATCGCTTATAGAGATCACTGACCTACTGACTACGAAGTTTTCGTTAGGCCTGATCACCCACTACGATGTGTACGACAGTATTCAGAGCATGCGCCAATGGTATTCGCGACGGATCAAAACCCTCACCGACGTCCAATCGGTGGGCCTCTCGCTGGCCGAGAAGCAGTACATTGAGCGATGCAAGAGCTTTATGCCCACCAAAACATTCAGGCAGAAGCTGAAATGTGAAGTTTGCGAGAACGCCTATAGCACAGATCACGCCCTGCAAGCTCATCAGTTCCGGGATCACAAGATGGGCGAGGGAGGTTGGTTTCGTTGCACGCTTTGCGAGCTGAACTTCGATCGAAGGTGCCACCTGCAGCAGCACATCCAGCGTGTGCACATGGACAAGAACTTTGTCTGCGACATCTGCAGCAGGAGTTTTGCCTTTGGCAATCAACTGGCTATCCACAAACGCACACATGACGAGAAGCACGTCGCCAAGCCATTTGTCTGCGAGTTCTGCGGCAAGTGTTTTAAGCAAAAAATCCAAATGACCACCCACGTAACTGCGGTTCACACCAAGGTCCGAGCCTTCAAGTGCGACATGTGCCCCAAGGACTTCCTGACTAAGCGCGACCTTAAGGACCACGTAAAAGCGCACCTGAACATCCGCGACAAGGTCTGCGAGGTCTGTCAGAAGGCTTTTACCAATGCCAACGCCTTAGTCAAGCACCGACACATCCACAAGGAGAAGACTCTGCAATGCTCGCTGTGCACGACGCGCTTCTCGGAGCGAGTTAGTCTGGGCGTCCACATGCGGCGCACGCACAAGATAATTAAGAGCTCTCTGTCGACGAGCGATGCGCTTTTTACACACACATTCCCTCAGCCTTAAGACATTTCCAAACAATAACAAATATTTACATACGTTAATAATTAGAAAATATGACTATAGTGCCAAAAAACAAATTTATTTTGAAATATTCATCTTAATGTATTATTACTCCCATATATTTGTTTATATTGGAACAAGAAATTTGACAATATATTTATTTAAGCTTGCAAAACTCAAAACAGCACTGTAATTCTTAAACAGTAGGTAAAATATTGTACAAAATATTTTTATTAACTTCCTTTCGATATATTCTATTTACAGATCATTCATCTGATTTTTTTCTAATAAAGACTGCACTCAACACTTTGCATTACAAAGGCATACACTTTGCGATGTAGTGGCTTAGAAACACAAAAAAAGACTGCATTTTGTAATCGAACATTCAAGGGTCAATATTAAATTTTACTTTTATTGCCCATTTGGGGATTTGGTGGATATAAACTACATATGTACGTATACATATAAACATGACGTGGCAATTTGAGCTACTCATGCTTGCATGCCAGTTGAAGTTCCTTTGCTCTGCCGTTAGAGATATTTGTTTCCACTATGCGTCAAGTAGTATAATTTAAAGAATTTTATAATAATACCTTTAAGAGAGATAACTTCCGGTAATCAAAATTTTCAAAATTATCAACACACCTATTTTTGTGCTGTGCAGCACTGGCTAACAGCTGTTCGTGTTTTGGTTTTCCGCGACGTGCTCGGTGTTACGTGCTCTGCAGGAATACCTCAGATCTGGAGAGGAGAGATGAGCGGACTCCTTCCAAAGTTGTGGCGGCAATGTGAAGTGGGGCTAGTGCGCCGACTCAGCCAGTCACTGATCGGCCCCGGCTTCAGTCACAGCCGCTGGACAGGGACTCGTCTCCTGTCCACGAATGCGGATAAAAATCCGGCCACTGGACTCCGGGAATTGCCCCATTGTAATGTGGGCACCATTGGTCACGTGGACCATGGTAAAACGACACTGACCGCCGCCATTACCAAAATCCAGTCACAGAAGGGTCTGGCGGAGTGCCTGTCCTACGACCAGATCGATCGGGCGCCCGAGGAAAAGGCTCGGGGCATAACTATAAATGCTTGCCATATTGGGTATTCCACTGCAGAGCGAACCTACGCTCACACGGATTGCCCGGGTCATGCAGACTACATAAAGGTAACTCAGGCAAATGAACATGTTGCACCAACTTAACGAAACTTATATCTGATCTGCAGAACATGATCTCTGGAGCCTCTCAAATGGATGGCGCTATCCTAGTTGTGGCTGCCACCGATGGCCAAATGCCCCAGACTCGCGAACACCTTCTTCTGGCAAAACAGGTGGGCATCCAGCGCATCATAGTCTTTATCAACAAGGCCGATCTGGTGGACCAGGAGGTTCTAGAACTGGTCGAAATCGAGATGCGTGAAATGTTGAGTGACTTTGGCTTTGATGGTGTGAATAGCCCGGTGATTTGTGGCTCAGCGTTACTGGCCCTTCGCGAAGATAAGTCGGAGTTCGGGGTTCCCTCAATTGAAAAGCTACTTGAGCAATGCGACACTTACATACCAACGCCGCAGCGCGATATCGCGTCCCCATTTATACTGCCAATAGATAATGCTTTTACGGTACCTGGAAGGGGAACCGTGGTCGTGGGAACCATCAAAAGGGGCACCATTCCCCGGAACGCGGATGCCGATCTCCTGGGCTTCAATCAGAACCTGAAGACGAGCATTAGTGACATCCAGATATTCCGGAAGAGCGTGCCCCAGGCACAGGCTGGCGAGAACGTCGGTGCACTGCTGCGAGGTATTAAAATATCCACCGTGGAGCGGGGAATGCTGCTGTGCGCGACCGGTTCCGAGGACATATCCAACCACTTTGAAGGTTCCATGTACCTGCTATCGCGGGCCGAGGGCGGTCGAGTCAAGCCCATGCTCTCCAAGTATATCCAGCAGCTCTTCAGCCAGACGTGGAATATTCCAGCCAGAATTGACATAAGTAAGTTAAATTCTTCAATTTTAGAACAAGTCAATAGGCTACTGTCTACTGTTGTCTACAAAATGAGCAAATTAATACCATTGCAGTTCCAAGTGAGGCTATGCTAATGCCGGGCGAGCATGGACAGGTGCGCGTCACGCTGATGAGGAAAATGGTCATGACGCCGGGCCAAGCCTTCACAATCCGCGAGAACGGAGCCACGGTTGCTACCGGAATGGTGACGCAGCGCCTGCCGTCTCTTGACCTGCCTAAAAACAAGTTATCAAAAGTCTTGGTGGATTGTTAACGACTCAAGATTTTATTTGTAAAAATTCATAAATTGCTGTTCATTATACAGGAGTACTTGATTTTTATTATATATATTTGTATGTGTTTAGGTAACACATGTTACCTGCCTAGAATGTTTCAAACAAATGACAATGTGGGTTAGGCTTGCATAGTCTTCCGACATCTCTGAGAAACACCACTAACAAGTTACAAGCTACGCAGAAAATGAGAATACATAAATAAATGAAATGCAACAGCAATGCTTCGGTGAGCTCTTTGAGTCTTATTCTATCATCTGTAGGCTTTACAAGTTTTTAAGGCAACAAATCAGCCTGGTTAAGTACAATCATTGTATGTATATAGATTTATTTATGATTTAAGGTACAAGGTTTAGGCAAGGAATGATTTCTTTATGGTCGGAGTCTAACTCCAAGCATTTATTGCGTTTCACATATAAAGGTTGGTTCTTAACCTTCCATTACTTTTGCTACAAATAGTTCGTATAACAAAAAACAATACTTGGCATCTTGGGACGGTTACGCCATTAGATACTCGGAATGGATACTATTGGAATGGAGAAACAACGGATATTTAAGCTAAACAGGAACTACACAGATTTCGGCAAAACTGCTCTACTCATCGTTTCATTATCTAATAGATTTTCTAAATATAAGAACAAATTTCTAGAATCGTTATACTCGTATAATACACAAAAACTAAGCGGTGTCATGTCATCCAAAATGGCAAAGTTCTCGACCGGCAACAAGACGCAATCTTGCGACGTTTAAATCTTTGTAAGGAACTCATCAAGGTTTAGATGCGAAGGTAAATCAATATCCTCAAGCTTTATGTCGCTATACCTGAAGACAACTTTAAATGGCTGAATGAACTTCTGGTCGATGGTGAATTCGTCACTGTTGCTCTTTTGCTGTAAGACAAAATCGGTAAATTGAAAATGTATATTTCATAATTTTTACTCATACCATTTGTCGGGCGTTGAGTTCCTTGGTTAGTTTCTCCAGAAAAACGTTCGTTATTTCGCTCTCATAATCATCCAGTTTGTAGGACTTCATCACCTTGAGGACCTGTGCAGTGCTTAGAGAAGTACAGAGATCACAAATGGTGTGTACATCCTGCTCGCTCTTCCGGGATTGCAGCAACTGGGAGACTTGATTCAGAGGCGCCAATGGTGCCAGCACATCGTTAGACTAAAAAATCAAATGCAAGTTAGTTTGGAAACTATGTAATAAGCAGACTTGACCTACCATCTTTTTACTGCGAACCCAATCCTCAATGCAGCCGATATTGTAGCGGATTATCATGCCAGTCTCCCACATGCAAATATCGCCCCTAAGCATCAGACAATTCAGAGCTACAGCGCAAACAAAGTAAAGTAGTTGATGGAATATCTGCTCCGCATAGCAGTTGTCCAAGCCAAAGTGCTGAAATTGTTTGTAAAAGTGCTCCAGCTGCCCGATCAGTTGCTTCCAGGCCGGACCACCACCGTGCTCCGGCGATGAGGATGATCCAATCGACGTGGCCCGACTACGCATTCCGTGCGCCTGCCGTCCGCGCTGAATCTCATCGTTGTTGAGAATCGCTGGCACTATTTTTGGGTCCAACAGACCCTGAATCTGCATGATCAGCGCCTGGTATAGATTTACTATTAGATCAAGAATTACGCGACGGTACTCAAACAAATTAAAGTTCTTCAGCTGCTGCTGATTCTGCTTTTCAGTATTGAACTTGACGTACTCTTCCACATCGCCGTATTGCTTCATAAGATTCAGGAGCCTAAAAGTCGCGAAAATAAGTTAATTTATGAATTTCAAGAGCTTATGACCACTTACGTAATGGAATTGACGAGCCAAATAACACGATTCTCGATGGGATGCGGCGTACGGTGCATTTTCTTAATCTGAATAACGAACTTGCTTAGCAATTCGCGCACATCATCGTCGGCATTTGTCAGATCGGTGTATCTGTGATAAAAAAAAACCATAAAATTGGTAAAGGCAATTATCATACCATGTCCAGAACTCACCGAATACACATAAAGATAAGATATGCTGGGAAACCAGGTAAGAGACCGACCACTGTACGTGGAGTCAAGGCGCTCAACAAACGCTGCAAGATCTTGTCCAGATCGCTGCTGTGGAACTTCATCAGCCCTTGTGGATTCTGAGACTTTTGTTTCGTCACATTCGCGCCTACATCGGTGGACGTTCCGTTAGACTTGTTGCGGATCATCTCCTCCTCTAGCTTGTGCTCCAGCTGGCCACCATCCTGCCGATAAGCTTTAAGCTTGGCATTTGCCAGCTTGAGCTCCTCCTGAACGAGCAGAAACTGGGCTACAGCCTTCTGCAGCTCCCGCCGCAGATAGCGATCGTTCTGTCTCAGCGTGTCCACATTTGCATCCTCAAACTCGTCGATGCTCTCGAAGATCACCTTTTGCAGTTCATCCTTTTCATTGTTCAATCTCTCGATCTCCTGTGTCATCTCCACGAGTTTACTGTTGTGCTCCTCAGTGATGGCCTTGAGCTCAGACTCCAATTGACTGTAAATTAGGGATGAAAATAATGCACTTGGCATACAGTCGACAAGTCCACCCACCGATTAATTAGCTTCTGGGAATGGAAGGCTTCCATTAGTTCGTTGACGTCGTTGCCACGCATCTGTAGACTTTCCGGCTCGAGGGATCTCATGGACTGGCTCTGCTGCAGCAGGACTGCCTTTAATTGGATGCATTCCTCGCGGCGCCTACGGACCTCTTCCTGTAAGGCGGCATGCTGGGCTGCAATGGGAAAGGTTGGAAGGAGGAGGGGAAAAAAGGACGTATGTCAGTAGGGCAGATCCGTGGGTCTCACGGCGTGCGTGGGTGGTTACCATTGAGCTCGTTGATCTCAACACCGTGTTTAATGCTCGTTCGCAGCTGATCGTACTCACTGCGCAGTTTTTCGTTCTCTACCTCAAGCTCGGAGACGCTATGTGTGTGTTGATCAGTGTGCGGCAATAATACATAAATGTAGACAAATGGAGTTTTTTCAAGATTTAGTTGCGAAAGTGGAACATCGACCTTGGCGATCTCGTATCTATGTAGGATGGAGGCCCTAAATACTTACCGGAAGGAATCCTCGGTGGGCTTGTGCCGACTGGCCAACTTAATGTACTGCTCCTGCAAGTTCTTGTGCTTTTGCTTCTCCTCCTCGAGAATGGCTCGCAACTTCACCACCAAACTGGTAGAGTCATTGTACGAGTCTGAGCATAAACATTTAAGGATTACTTTACGCTCTAAAAAAAAATGTTCAATGCTCTTACAATTTTTGCTTAGCAAATCCGGTGGCCGATTGATATCCAGAGTGTTCTTGGCGGAGGCGTAACCCACATCGTCCTCGTTTTGGCTGGATGCGTTGCTGGCCTTGCGGCCGTGCAAGCTAAAGTTGCCAGCCGTTAATCGACTGAGCTCTTCCTTCAACATGTAGTTTTCGTTCTCGATCACCTCCTTGTCCTTAATGGCTCTTTGGTAGGCCTCGTTAAGCTCCCTGTTATCGATCTCGGCTAGCATTCGGTCCTCCTGGTTACGCTGGCTGACTTCTGCGTTCTTTGCCATATCGATTATCTCGTCTATCTGGCGGCGCAATTCCTCGTTCTCTTGGCGCCACGTCTGCTTCTGGCTCAGCCATTCCTCTTGAGCATGTCCGTTCTCCTCTAGCAACTGCATTTTTTCGTCCCGCTCCGCCTCCAACTGCTTGTTCAGTGCTTCGATCAGCTTATCCTTATCCTGGCAGGCGGCCTTGACATTTTTGAATTCTGCCTCCAGGGTCTTCTTCAACTCAAGTTTCATTCTACAAGATAAGCATGGTTAACACATGGGAACTATAACTAATTTAGCTTTAAATTCGTACTTCAATACGCTGATTTCGCTGGTCTTGTGCTTCAGATTGCTGTTGTCGCGGTTCAGCTCATCGATCCGCTGCTGCATAGATATAATCTTGTTTTCCAGCCCCATGTATTTATTTTCCATGTGCGAGATAGTCTTGGCCTCGGCCTTCATACGTTTAAACTTACGACGGGCCAGGAATCTCCGAATCGCGGCTTGACAGATGATGATGTTGCGCCGACGCTTTTGGTAAGCTCGTCGTGCCAAAGCACCGCGCACGAATCGCTGGATCTGAACCGCCCGGTAGTGATCCCGCATCGCGTGGAACTTTCTGCGTGCCAACATGCCACGGGCATAGGTCTGTATGCCGGAAATTGAGTGGCGCAGGCGTAAATAACGACGACGGCATAACCAACCGCGGGCGTACTTCGACAGGATCAATCCCGCCCGAGCCTCACGCATTTTCTGGACACGCTGGCGGGCAAGAAAGCCGCGCGCATGCCTCTGTATTCCATTTATCACTATCTGAACGCGCAGGAACTTGCGCCGGTAGATGAATCGCCGCACCACCGACTGCACAATGGTGATGTACTTCTTGCGCAGATTAGCCCGAACTTGTTCTAGGAAGGCCACTTGCCCGGCGCGAAAAAAAATCTGCGTGTTACCAAATCGGTACTTATCTTCGTCTTGGATCCACTTCATCACAATGTTGCGACACGACAACTTCATGTCGTTCTTGTCGAGCTTAGAGCGGTAAACCAACAGCTGGTACCGCATATAGAAGTCGGGATAAAGCCATCTCGAGGGGAATCCCGCTGCGGAGATGCGCACCGTTTCTAGCACACCACAGGCCCTTAACTGCTGAATGATCTTGGCCGTCTCCCATTTAAAGGCGACTTTGTCATCGTTGGGCTGCACGAAATAATATTATTATAAGATGCTTTTATTTTTACCTTATTCTTACCTTGATGCAGCGCACATAGTGCGGTGTTGTAGCATGTAACGTAGATATCAGCGAGGCCAGACTCTCCTGGAACTGTGATCCCACTGTTTTCCTATGCTGCTTGGATGGCACCACCTTATAACAAGTAAAAGGCGATATTAGTGGATCGCTTGGGGAAATGGACAAGCACAGTCAAAATGAAGAAAATTAACACAAGACCTTTTTAAAAGTTTCAAACTAGTAAAAATGTAAAATTATGAAAAAACTTATTTTCATTAACCCAATTTCTTTAATATGATACGTTCCCGTGTCATATTTTTATTTTCTGAAGAGGTGTTATATTTAGCACATCCTAATGAATTAATTTATTTGATTATTTGGAAATTGCATAGGGTAGGCTTATTATTTTGGATATCTTTGCTGGAAGAACTTTTTGACCCTTTCTAATCAGCATTACTCGGACATTTAGTCATGTCCTTCTGCTTTTTTTTTAAGGCCGAACTTAGTGAATATCTCCAATTATATTAGATACAATTATTTCAAAATTAAATGAAATGGTTAAAAT